CTCTAATTCTCAGGAAGACATGAAATACCTGAGGAAGTCACTGTATTCCATCCAGAAGATTCCTTTTCTGCTCCTGTGGGGCATCAATTCATGCTGCAAGTGTGTTGGCCAATGTGGCCATTCATCAGACCACCTGCCTTTCCACGAGAAGCAACCCCAGGGATTATGGAGTCTCAGCAACTTGGAGGACAGAAGAACGAAGCAAGTCAGACCTGCTCTCAGAAGGGGCTTAAGATTCTTACATGCTGCCTCCTCTCTCTTTTTTTTTTAAAGATGCAGATAGCTTGATATCCTTACCTGCATCCTTGAACATCGCGTACATCCAATATAGAGTACGCATGTCGCGGACGAAGGACCATACTTTTGTAGGCTGCATCATCCACTTTCATGTTCCTTCCTCTGCATGATGCACCCATTAAAAAACTGAAGAGGTTGCAATCGGCACAACAGGAGGGCCACATCATAGATGCTCCACATTTTTGAGGGCTGAAGGAAGCAGTAGTGAGGGCTAGCTCTCCTTCTACAACATTTCGGGTTATCGATTCTTTCAACAGAAGAGAGAAAAGCCAGCCACCAGGACCCCAGACTTCCTCTTTCTCCCAACAGCCTTTGGCCGACTGGCCAATCCCACGCTCCGGCTGTAGAAATACTTGCCCACCTTATGTACAAGACCGTTTTCGAGGACATTTTCCAGAGTTAGGTTTTCAGTGTCTGCTGAAAGATCTGTGAGGACGTCCTGAGAAACAGAATTAAAAACATAACAGGGTAAATATTTTCACTGCCTGCCAGAGGCGAGGGCACATTACGCACACATGTCGAAAGCAAAGACGGCTTCAGATATGTTAGGTGTATCGTATCTGGGAGTTGTAGTCCAAAATGTAAATCAGGATGCCTCTAGTGCTCACCTGTTGTATAAGCATCAGGACATTCATCAAGCAGTGGAGAAACATCAAGGTTCCCCCCCCCTTCCAAATCAGGGCAGAAACAAGTGGAATCCATTCTCAACCTTTCCCCGGACACCTCCTCTTCCACTCTCTCGTGGTGTTGATAAAACGCCACCCCATCTTGCCGGTGTTGAGGGCACGCCTTACCTGGGATCTTGTTGACAGGCAGAAACAGGGGGTTGTACGGCAGGGTTGGTCATAGAACCAGAAGAGGAGGTGCTGGGCGGCGGAAGTAGAATCACTTCGTTGGAGGGCTGGACCGGGAGGTTGAACAGAGTTGGGTGGAAGCAAGAGAGACACATTGAGCCTACATTGCATGTCCCAGGGAAGCACCTAAATGGAATGGCATGGAATGACTGAGGCAAGCTGAGCCCTTCAGACAGGAACAAAGTCTCCACCACCTTCCGAGGAGAGTTGTTGCTTGTTTATTCCCATCTTATTTGTGTGTGTTTAATCTGGCTGCCTCCTTCCTGCTTTCCTGGAACTAAACCTCATACTTTACAGTCCCATGAAGAGGCCTGGGGAAAAGAGTTTCAGAAGTCTAGCCTGGGGAGATGGGACACAGTGGGTTCCCCAAGCCGGACCCCGCTTGAGTTCACTCATGTTTTTCAGCAGTACGGAGGGACAACCATCTTGTCACATGACCAACAACGTTTGTCCACTCCAAAACAGCTGGTCAGGAGTGCTTTCCCTTTTCATCCACAGGAGGTCCTCTACAGCGGACTCTGATGTCATTTTTGACCCTTTTTAAAACCCTATAAACCAGCCAGCTGCGCATCGATTCTCCTGGGAAGGAAGGCAAACTGATGTAGATGTTTTAATGTTCCCAGAGCTCATAGCAACATGTACACAGCAGAAACATTTCTCCTCTGGGATGGTTCTCTTAGCATTTACCATCAGCAGTAGGCAGAAGGGAACAGTCTCAGGCGCCATTTAAGAGTAAACTGGTCCCCACTATGATGTGAAAGAATGCTCTGCAGGCTGATTAGAAACAATAAATGATAGGAGACTGTTTTTTCCTCCTTCTTTCTTTCGCTCACACAAACAGGCCATGCTTCTAGAGAGCATGGTGAGTCTCTACAGACTAGAAACACTTTGGATTTCTGGGGTGGAAAGGAAGCAGCCTGAGATCTGATCTTGGCAACAGCAAACTTAGAAGGAAGCGATGCATGTTTAGACAAGAGTCAATGGAAAAACTGAACTCTGAGATGCACTTTAATGCACCATAGCTCAATTGTGATTGTTCTATAAAACAGAAGGAGGTTACAGGAATAGACATTAAACCACATTAAAGCACATTTCTGCTTTCTGGGCCGAGAGCTGAATTGCCACGGTGTAAAAGATAAAGTCCCTGTCATCAATTCTTGCGCCAGGGAGTTACAGGGAGCCCTCAAGATGCTCCACATCACTATATGTAGTGGTCCACTGCTCTGTGGAGGCACTGGATGTACAGGTATATACTGGTCCAGTCCTCCATTTGCCCCCAGGTACACAACATGAGCAGGTCAACCTGGAATGGATGGGAGTTCAAGCAAGTGATCCTCTGGACGGCCTGCTTGCCCCCTTTTTTTCTTAATGCCAGACTCTGACAGCCCCTTTGGAGCAACACAACGAAGGAAAGGAAGGGAGGAGGGACTATGGAAAGACTCCTCAGGTTTTCCAAGATACCTTCCTCTGACCCAAGAAGAACAGAGGAAGACACCATCCCTGATCCCCTGTGCCTGAGCCCACCATGTGATGTG